AATTATATTTATGGTAAAAATAAAATCCCAACCATATTCCTGTGAAATCTAAATGATAAAACTACTGAGTTCATAAATAAAGCTGTGTGTGTGATTGAGGTGTAATTGAGGTTTTGGGGATCCATGGGTGCTGTGGCCTGTAGAGTGGGAATCAGTGGTTTGTTTTTGTGGCTGTCGCCGTTTGCAGGCAACCTATGTTACACTATGGAAATGCTGTAGGTCATAATTTGACAAGCATATGGGTGCAGGTTGTAGAGCCCTGAACACAGACAGTGAGCATTCAGGGCCACTTCCCCACGCCTTCACACCTGTCAGATGACAACCTGTGTTCATAGAGCTGCTGTGTCCACATAGTGTAACAGGTGGCTCATGAACAACCCCCTCATTCATGCTGTACAGGCCAGAGGACCTGTGTGAATGTGGCATTTTTTACTTTTTTTTTTCCTCAGCTCATTAATTTCAATGGGCTGCCTAACGTGTGGGAACATGCAAAAATACTGCAGGCATGTTATTGTAAAAGTGTTTGCACCTAACCGCACAGTAGTGTGGTGCCATGCGTTTTTGGTGGCTGTGAGTGCATCTGTGTTTACTAGACATGTGGAGGTGCAATTAAGTTTTTTCATCATGGGTACCTGCACACATCTGCAGAGGGCATTTGCTGTGCTGGACAATGCGTGCTCTTGCATGCGTTTCTGCATCACAAATGGTGTGAACAAGTCCTAAGTGCCAGTTCACACTATAGAAACAGTCTAGATGTGTTCCAGATGCGTTTTTGCATGCATTTTTTTGATGCATGTTTAGCGTGTTCCAGAGCATTTTGGATGCGTTTTTTGTGTGTTCCAGTGCATTTTGTATGTATTTTTGGTGTGGTTCCAGTGCAGTTTTGGATGCGTTTTTGACGTGTTCCAGTGCCTTTTTTTTTATGCATTCAGTTAATTTTTTTTCCCCTCTGTTTTTCTAAAATTTTATTAGGGACATGTGCGTTTTTAGTGCATTCCAGGGCGGTTTTTACTGCGTTCCAGTACAGTTCTATGCATAAAAACTATGCAGCCTGTTTTACTTTTTTGGCAGCACCTGCAACACACTGGAACTGCAAGCGCTGATGTGAACTATGACATTGACAACCATATAACCTTCTTTCTGTGCGTTTTGGATGCAAAAAAAGCAACTGAAACACGTGTAGTGTGAAAATTGGCCCTAAAGGTTATTATAGGTCAGGGAAAGGGACTGACCCAGGAATTGTGAATTCAATCAGACTAGTGGTGAGATTCAATCAGGAATTGTATAATAATGCGAGATCTGAGCTGGAGGTGATGAAATGAGACACCTTAACAAGATCAATAAATAAATAGTTAAATAAAAAGAGTGGGCGGCGGGGATACATAGAATTTGTAGATGGCAGGTGATGACAGGGGGGTGGGGGAGGGGGTCAATTTGTATAAGGAGACAGGTTTAAAGGGCTCGTTCACACTTGACTTTATTTCTAACTCTTGCCAAACGTGGGGGGGGGGGGGGGGGGGGGGGGGGAGGGGGGGGGGGGGGGGGGGGGGGGGGGGGGGGGGGGGGGGGGGGGGGGGGGGGGGGGGGGGGGGGGCCCCTATAGTTTTTGACAGGCATTTTGGGAAGCGTTTTTTTTACGCTCCTCAAATGCTCCCCAAACGACCTATGTGCAGTTTTGAGGCATGTGATACAAAGCATTTACCAAGTGTTAAAACTGCAACCAACAAATGCCTGTAATGAAGTTAAATGTTATTGACGCTCCGAAAATGCCTCGCAACTGCAAATCGCAAACGTCTGCCAGGCATTTGAGGAGCGGCACCATAGACTTGACAATGCGAGGCTTCAACTCCTCCTGATGTGACATGAGGCGCCAGTTTTTTGCCCGTGATGCAATGCTAACGCTTTTCAGTGTAAACAGCACTGTGTGTTGATCATGTGCAGAATTTTCATAGGCGTATTTGAGAAGCGTAAAAAATGCTTCCCAAATGCCTGTCTGATGCCTGCTGACAAAGCTAAGTGTGAACGCAGCCTTAGAGAAAATAAAGTTGTAATTGAAATATAAACAGAAGGAAATTGAAAAATTCAAACTTGTCATGAAGACAAGGTAAGATTCACACTATCCCTATTCCACTTTCTAGTCACCTGGGGTTAGCCAAATTCTTAAATTAATTGATCTATATTCCTGGCACTGACAGAACCCTCAGGAAATTGATCTCCATATTTTGGGCATTCACAAATGTCAAGGAGCTTACAATCTAATGCAGGCCATAGATGGGGTCGAAAATCGGCCGGAAAAAAAAATCGGGCAATTTTTTGCACTGTAGTGGATTAAATTAGATCGGATCTAATTCTGATCGGCCGTTTTGGCACATTTTTTTTTTCTTTTTTTGAAGAAGAAGAATTCCAGTCCGCTATTATATTTTGCATGCAAAGTCTTGCGGTTACAACAATGTATCTATTTGTATCCGAATTAAAAAACATCTTATCCAGAATGGATACAATGTTGCAACCACAATACTTTTCATGTAATATATAATAGCAGTGCTCATCTGCAAGAGACAGAAGAAAAAATGCCGGCCGTAGATGGGACGAAAATCATATGAATTTTTTTGCTGTTGGTGGTAACATCATCTAATTGAACGACCAATTTGGTTTGTTTTTTTTTACATATACTAGGGCGATTAGGCCCAATTAACCTAACAGCATGTCTTTGGAGTGTCGTTGGTAGAAACACACCTGTGTGCAGAGAAAACATGCAAACTGAGATGCAGCTATGACTGGGATTAGAACCCATGACCCATGTGCTGTACATTTCTGAGTTCTAAACCACTAAGCCCCTGTAGGAGACAGAGTTTGAGCTGCAATGTAGAATAGTTATATTGTTTAAAAATAATGATAAAAGCGAGCGCTGGTCAAATTATATAGACTACTAAAATGGTATTACACAAGATCAATATAAATCTAGGTATAGATATGAAGGTAGCAGCTAGCACTCAGGGTATTGGCAACAGTCCCAGAAATAGAAATATGTTAAAATAATAGTGCAGTGCTATAAATGCATGTTAGTATCCAAAAAGTGCAATAATTTATTTATTTTAGGTACTCTTATAGTGCTGTCAATTTATGCAGTGCTTTACACATATATTGTACATTCACATCTGTCCCTAACCCTCAAGGAGTGTACAATCTAAGGTCCTTAACTCACATTCATACACTAGGGCCAATTTTGGACAGGAATCAATACACCTACCAGCATGTCTTTGGAGTGTGGGAGGAAACTGATGCAAGCACAGGGAGAACATGCAAAACTCCACGCAGGAGGTGCCATGGTCAAGAATCGAACCCATGACCCATTTACTACAAGGCAGACGTGCTAACCATTAAGCCACTGTGCTGCCTGTTAACGATGATGTAAACTGGTAAATGGTGCTAAAAAAAAAGTTCATATATTCATTCCTGAATAATGGAATGTCCTTCGTGTCAGAGTACCAAACTCAGAGAGAGTGGCTATGAATGGCACGTGTGGTTTATCCATGACGAACAGTAGTGCATGAACTCGTGACAGGTAAACCACCTTTTGGGACGTGTGTATTACACTATTAAGCACCTTTATGGCTCCTGTGGCTGAGCAAATTCCTCCCCTTACCATTTTTGGCACCCACCCGGATGGATGGATGGATGGATGGAGCTGGATGACAAACCCATAGCTGCCAGCATACCGCTGCACCCCCAGATGTGTGATGTGTATAACCCATGCACATTAATACCTTAACATAGAATAGTTACGTGATTAAAGAGAAGGAAGCTATATCATTATATTGAGAACTTAGAACTAGACATTCCAAATTATTTGAGATATAAGTGTGAAAATGTTTAACATTTGAAAATAGAATGTATGACTTTCATTAGTAAATGCATTAGTTGTCAGATCATTTTGGAGAAACAGCAAAAAAAAAAACAAAACAATTCTAATATAGGTGTACTATTTATGTTACATTCTCTTCTCTGCAGTATTCTCTTATGCTAACACAAAAACGCCAATGCTACAAAGCCCGCACTTGTGCGCCATCTAGCGAACATATCCGGTATTGCACCTAAAAATATGCCAGAGGCGATTCCACATTTACTAATAGCAAAGTAGACGATCCTCAATGAGATTGCTAGACGCCGCTCAGAAGACTGACAGGTCTTGATTGATTTAACTGAGCCTGCCTGAATGTTCAGAGTCTGCTGGTAGACTCAAGTCTTAGTAAATCAGGGCCTTAGTGTCAATGTCAGTGTCAATGTCAGTGTCAGTGTGTTTTAGTTAAAAAAAAAAAAGACAAAAACAAAATGCGCACTATTGTTTCTGGGCTGTACTATGGGTACAAACAACAAATAACATGTTTGTAACATATATGGTATCGCTTCGATCGTCAAGAGCTGGAGAATTTATTTCGGGTTGTTCTTTGGTGGTAGGATATGGTAGTAACAAGAAACACACAGTTAAATAAAAAAAATAATTTTTTTTACTATTTTGAGCCAGTTTTCATTTGATAACAAAAAAAAAATCAGGAGCTATCCATTACCATTTACCACCAAATGAAAGCCCACTTTGTCCTGAAAAAATCAAGGTATAATCCACCTGGATGTACAAAGTACTGTATTTTTCGCTCCATAAGACGCACCTGACCATAAGACGCACCTAGGTTTTAGAGGCAGAAAACAGGAAAAAAAAATTCTGAACTAATGGACTGCAGACATAGTACAGGAGATGACCAGAGACTGCGGATAGCACAGGGATGACCAGAGACTGCGGACAGTACAGGAGATGACTGCTGACCTTTGGGGGAGGGGGGGAGCGGGTACATGAATTTGACAGGTACCCGCTCTACTTACTTCCGCAGAGTTGTTCTTTGATGTTACCTGTTCCTCTATCCAGCCGCGCGCTGTCTTCCCGGCTTCTGTAGTAACGGCGCTCGGCATGACAGCCGGGTGCCCAGTGCGCATGAGCGAGAAGCACTTACGCTTTGTGATTGGTCCGGCGGCTTCTGGGATCTGTCATGTGTCCCAGGTACCGCCTTACCATTCAGAAAAAGCACCGCTTCTTGCGCATGCGCACTTGGCAACCGGCTGTCATGCCCAGCGTCCACACTACAGAAGCCGGGAAACACAGCGCGCCGCTGGATAGAGGAACAGGTAAGGTCAAAGAACAACTCCGCAGAAGTAAGAGCGGGTACCTGTCAAATTCAGGTACCTGCTCCCCACCTCCCCAAAGATCAGCAGTCATCTCCATAAGGTCCTGCTGCAGAGCTGAGCGGCCGGCCCGGTATTCTGACACGGTGGCGGTGGAAATATCAGACCAGACGGCCGCTCCATATTCACTCCATAAGACGCACTGACATTTTCCCCCCTTTTTTGCGGGGAAAAAAGTGCATCTTATGGAGCGAAAAATGCGGTAGTTGTGATGATATGTACGGTTTTACTAACACATGTCAACGTTGCAAAATTGTGCTTAGGCATTTAGATTTGTTTTACTCTTAAGCGTGAAGGGGTTAAGAACTCTCAAGCCAGCAGAGCAGTCAGAGGGCCGGGAGCCAGTATTGGGAGTGGAGCCTTTTTTTTTTTTTTTTTTTAGGTAGCGGCAAAGGCGGACATTGTAAATGACTATGGATCTACTTCAGGGGGCATTCTTTTATTTTTCTTCTTTTAATAAAGGACTTGCAAAGACTGTCTACTGTCTTTTTTCACACTACACTTTTTTTTGTGTGAATGGGAAGTGGTACCATGTACCCCATACTCATTCCAATAGGGGGGCCTGTTCTGGGGGCCCCTTTGCTAAAGGGGGGCTTCCAGGTTCCAATAAGCCCCACACCTGCAGACTCCCACAACCACTGGCCAGGGTTGTGAGGAAGAGGCTCGCTCGTCCCCCCCCCTTTCCTGACCTGCTAGGCTGCATACTCGGATAAGGGTCTGATATGGATTTTGGGGGGACCCCCATGCCATTTAAAAAAAAAAATTGTGTGGGGGTTCCCCTCAAAACTCATACTGGACCCGAAGGGCTTGGTATGGATGGAGGGGGGACCCCACGCCATTTTTAAAAATTATTTTTTTAACTGCTGACAATTCTTTCTTTTACATTCAGCTGTCAGTGGGGAACCCTGCTGCTGACAGCTGAAACATTAACACATGGTTATCACTACGAAAATACCACATGACTTGATAAAATAACTCATGCAGTATTTTAATAGCGTTTTTGGTGAATTCAAACTTTTTTTTAAAACATGCTATGCGGTATCCTATTGCATGCTCAGATATGGTAAGATACAGCATAGTGAATTGTGCCCAGTGAGCTTTTCACAGGGTCCTCTACTGTTTAGGAAAGCTGTTTAGGAAAGCTGAGAAATAACAGATTTACTGGCCAGATCACCAGGTGAAAATAAAGGAAAAAAAAAAAAGTAAAAACTAATGCAACCACCACATCTAAGAACTAGTAAGATGCAATATAATATATTTTTGTTTTTGAGTTTGACAACACTTTAACCTCCCTGGTGGTATTCCCGAGTGTAGCTCGGGGTAAAGTTTCAGTACCACAAGCGGTAACCCCGAGCTACACTCGGGCTTACCATGTGGCGCTGCTCCGCGATCCCTCGGTCACTTACCTTGTCCTGTGCTCCCACGATGTCCCTCCTGCAGTGTCCCGGCAATGTAATCTGGTGGATGGCGGCATCTGTCATCTGGGTTCCGTCTTCTGCGAGCGTCGGGACGTACGGGGGGCGGAACGGTGGGAAGTTTGAAAATGACAAAAAGTGACATTCACAAAAATCACTAAAATCACATAGTAAAACATTACTGTACCAAAGCATTTCACATACATTTTGTCCCTAGTGCTTTGTCCTGTGCCCTGCCTTCATTTTTACTGTTCTTTCTACCTGGAAACAGAAATGTCCATGGCATCCAAAAAGCATCCCTTTAGGTCAAAAGCGGTTTTAGATCAGCTAGAGAACAGCGATAGTAAATTAGAACTACTTGCAGAATTGAGTGATAATGATTCGTGGGGAAATTCGTCATCAGACACTGAAAACGATTTTGCAACTTTGCTCAGTGATGTGAGAACTTGGTGCTATATTTCAAATTTCAAATTTATGATTTCGTGTTTCAAGTTTTATCCTACTCGGGATGTTTACTAAACTCTTGTTTGGACAGATTTCAGTGAGTGATTCCTAAAAATTACAGGCCTACAATATAAACCACCAAATTTCCATGCAAAATAATGGTACCGCTTTCAGCACCAAAAATCTGAAATAATCATACCCCCCGGGAGGTTAAGCTAGTTCACATATAACTCATAATGGTGTCTAATTCACAGGCCTACATTAACCGCCTCCCGCCTGCCAGATAGTAAAATGACGAACGCAAGGCAGTTCTCTCGTACGGAGAAACTGTCATTTGATTTCCTCCCATTCTAGCCGCGCATGAGTGGCTCCGGAAGCGCGCAGCACGGCACAGCGGATCACCGATCAACGGAAAGAGCTGAAGATGTCGGCTCAGTCATGTGATCAGCTGTGTTCAATCACAGCTGATCGCATGTAAATAGGAAAATGCCGGTTATTTCTCTCCTCACGAGCTGTCACACTGACAGCTCGAGAGGAGAGGAGAGAGAGTCGGTAATTGGCATCCCTCAGAGGGGACATGTACACTGATCATCAGGGTACTGATGATCAGTGTGCCCTGATGATCTGTGTAGCCCCAGCAGTGCCACCTGTCAGTGTCCATCAGTGCCAGCTGTCAGTGCTCATCCATGCCACCTGCCAGTGCCCATCAGTGCCACACCAATGTCACATTTCAGTGCCTACCAGTGCACATCAATGCCACATATAAGTGCCCATCTGAGCTGCCTTTCAGTGTCACCCATCAGTGCCAGTCAGTGCCACCTAACAGTGCCAGTCAGTGCCGCCTATCAGTGCCACCTATCAGTGCCATATATGAGTGCTGCCTTTCACTGCCTATCAGTGATGCCTGTCAATGCCCATCAGTGCCACCTACCAGTGCCTCCTCATCAGTGCCTCTCCTCTGAGCTACCCACCATCATCCTTGGGGATTTCAACATCCCTGTCAACCTCGACAACCCAGACACATCCCATCTCCTCCACTTAACCTCCTCCTTTGTACTTGCACATTGCATACAATCCACCACCCACTCCAACGGTAATATCCTTGATCTTGTCTTCTCCAACCGCTGCGCTCCCCACAACCTCACTAACACCCCCTTTCCTCTCTCTGACCACAACCTGATTACCTTCTCTATCTCCTCAGCCTCCAACGCCTACCCCTCCAAATGTCACACTACTACCAGCCGTAACCTCCGCAAGCTTAACCCTGCCCCCCTCCACTCTGCAGCTGATCAACTCCATGACAGCATCCTCCCCCTGTCCTGCCCTGACTTGGCTATGGCTGCCTACAACAACGCGCTGTCAACAGCCCTTGACTCACTAGCGCCTTTAACCACACGCAACATCAGACCCCGACCGCTCCAGCCCTGGCAGACTGATCACACCAAAACCCTCAAACGACACAGTCGTGCCCTGGAGCGACAATGGTGCAAAACCAAATCCCAACAAGCCTTCACCCGCTACAAATCTGCCTTCCACACCTACACCTCCTCCCTCCACGCAGCCAAACAAGCCTACTTCCTGACCCTCATCAAGACCCTCTCCTCCAATCCTCGCCGACTCTTCTCCACCTTCAACTCTCTACTCTCTCCACCCCCACCTCCACCCAGCACCTCACTCACCGCCCTTGAGATTGCCAATCACTTCAAAAACAAGATTGACACAATTCGCAAGGACATCGCCGCAACTCACACGCCCTCTCAACCCGTCCCCTCTCACACAGCTACCCCGTCATCCCCCCTCCCCCTCGACATAACCCGCAGGGACTTCGTCGCTGCTCAAACTCCCTCCAACCCCGTTCCCCCTCACTCAGCTACCCCCTCATCACCCCTCTCCCATGGCCCCACCACTGCTCTGACCTCCACTTCCACCCCACCCTACATTCCTCATACCGAAGCTCCCCCAACACTCCGCACCTTTGACCTTACTACCATCGAGGAAGTTTCCAAGATCCTCTCTGATGCCCGCCTCACCACCTGCCCTCTCGACCCTATCCCCTCACAACTCCTACGACCTCCCTCCCCCCTCCATCCTACGCTCCCTCAACCACATCTTCAATCTCTCCCTCTCCTCAGACATTTTCCCCTCCCCTCTGAAACATGCACACATCACCCCCATACTTAAAAAGCCCTCCCTGGACCCCAATGACGCGAACAACCTCAGACCCATCTCCCTGCTCCCATTTACATCTAAACTCCTCGAGCGCCTCGTCTACACCCGCCTATGCTCTCACCTCAACGACAACCACCTCCTCGATCCCCTACAGCAGTGGTTCTCAACCTTCCTAATGCCGTGGCCCTTTAATACAGTTCCTCATGTTGTGGTGACCCCCAACCATAAAAATTATTTACCCAGTAATTATAATTCATGAGTGTCGTTTTACCTCCAATACTGCTGCTGTCAACACAGTAGCTGCTTTTAACAGAGTAGCTGCTTTCAACACAGCAGCTGCTTTCTACACAGTAGCTGCTGTTTACACATCGGAAATATGTGTTTTCTGATGGTCTTAGGGGACCCCTGTGAAAGGGTCGTTCGACCCCCAAAGGGGTCGGGACCCACAGGTTGAGAACCACTGCCCTACAGTCTGGCTTCCATCCCCTAAACTCCACCGAAACCACCTTACTCAAACTCTCCAACGATTTGCTAACCGCCAAAGCTAATGGCCACTATTCAGTGCTCCTACTCCTTGACCTCTCTGCGGCCTTCGACACAGTCGACCCACTCCCTCCTCCTCAAAAAACGACACTCTCTCGGCCTCAGAGATTCTGCTCTCTCTTGGCTCTCATCCTACCTGTCACAATGCTCCTTCAGCGTTACCTATAATGCTACCACCTGCCCCTCACTCCCCCTCTCTGTTGGGGTCCCTCAAGGCTCTGTCCTTGGGCCCCTTCTCTTCTCCATCTACACCTCCTCCCTTGGCCAACTCATACACTCTCACGGCTTCAACTACCACCTCTATGCTGACGACACACAAATCTATCTCTCAACCCCCCACCTCACCCCCTCGGTCTCTTCCCGAATCACACACCTACTGAGCGACATATAAGACTGGATGTCGCTCTACTTCCTTAAATTGAACCTCTCCAAAACCGAGTTTCCTGTCTTCCCCCCAGCCCGGACACCACCCCCCATTGGCTTCTCCATCACATCCAACAACGCCACCATCAAACCTGCCCCGCAGGCCAGAGTACTTGGTGTCATTCTGGACTCCAACCTATCCTTCCAGCCCCAAG